ATAAAGACCGAGTTCTTATATGTAGGGTAACGCATATAGAAGATCTCGCAATCGTCATGATATCGGAACTCTTGTAAGAACGATCTTGCTCTCGAGAACTCGTTAGAACGAAGAGCAGCACGGAACAGAGCAGCACGCGCATTGGGGCTGACAGCTCTGGCCTCCGCCGAGAATCCAAACTTTTTCAAGTCGTAGAGGATCGGGCTAGTGATAGAAAAACGAGGAGCAGACGGCAGCTGCTGAAGAGCTTCTCGCTCTGCAGCAAGGACACTGCTCGTAATCGGGTAGAACTGGGCGACATGCTGGAGGACGGGCTGGCAGTAAATGTTGTACATGTGTATATTTCCTGCAAGGCCTAAACAGAGACTCTTAACATACCTGGCCCGACGAAGCAGGGCCCTACAGGGCCCAGCCCAACTCAACTCCAAACCATTAATCCCCAGGAAGACCCCAAGATAGAGTCCAGCCCGACCTACTTTGGCTGCATTCAGACGTATACGTTTAGCCCGGCAGTCCTGGCGGAAGGACCTCTCCCCACGCTCGTGCGGCAGCACGAACTGGCACTTCGCAATGTGCAAAAAGAGGCCGGCGCTTTTGGCCAACAAGACGAACTGGTGCACCATGATTTCGTGCGCCGAGAAGAGATTGAAAGCAGCGATCCCAAGATCGTCAGCATATGCACAAGGATGAGCGCGGACTGCACCAAGATCGTGGCGGACTTTCCGAAACCAAGGGTCAAGCCCAAGAGCAAACAAGAGACCAGAGAGAGGACACCCTTGCTTTATGCCCCGCTCAACCTTGTACTTGCCATACACATGTCCCTTGAAACGCACGTGCATATACATGTTATTGTACAAGTTCTTAACAATAAGACAAAACCACTCAGGGATCCCCATCTCACTCAACACAAACATAATCCATTCATGAGAGATACTAGGAAAAGCTTGTTTTATATCATAGAAGGCCATCCCAGGGGCATCTGCATTCTCATACGCAGCATATTGGGTATATCGGCTGTCAAGGGCAACAACATTGTCAACCAGAGCTCGACCACCCACAAATCCCCTTTGTTCAGCGTCGACGGTGCGGCGGGCCACCATGTTCAGCGGCTGTGCGAGAGCAGAACATATCAGTTTGCAATCTGTGTTCCCCAGTGCAAGCGGACGGGTATGATCTGGCGTGCGGCACGGGTCAGCCTCCAGCGACCCTTTCGGTAAGAAGGCGAGGTAGGCATCATTGAACTGATCTGGGATGAGTCCTGTGTCTACTATGTGACGATAGTGAGCATAAAGAATACCGCGGGCCTTGGGACCACCAAATCTCCAAGCAGAGTACGAAATACCATCAAGACCAGGACTCGAATCCCTCGACCTATCTAAAAGCCTGGCGAACTGCTCCTCATCTAAGGTCCACAAGATGTCCTGTGGGCAAGCCTGAATCCAGCTACGGAGAGAGTGCATACTGTCCTGGCAGGGGCGAAAATGGCGGGCTGCATTCGCCCAGTGATCCTGCAGGAGACTCGCGCACACACGGGGGTCGGTGTGGGTGTTCCCTAAGGGGTCCACAATTCCCTGAAGCAGTACTTGCTTGTGACGGGGGGCCCAAGCTCGAGACAGCCTTTCAATTTTTGCAAGCCCCGCAGTCCTAGCTGGAGAGGAAATAGACTGGTCATTCAAAATCTCCTGACGGTCGTTGTCCAAGTCCTGACGACTCAGCTCCGCCAGATACTCATAAAAGCCATCGGAGTCAATGAGGTGAGCATCATCATCAACAAATTCACGAAGCTTCGGAAACCTGCGAATAGCTAATCGTTGTTTATCGAGATCACGACGACGGCGAGCACGATCATACGACATGCACCACGATATTTTGTGACCAATGGTACGAGAGCTTTGAGAGCACGAGGATTGTTTGATTTCATGTGCTACAATGTGCATCATCGACTTCACCTCGAGGACAGCCGAGGCAGCATCTTCAGAGACACCCATCTCATCGATCAGGCTATCGATTCTGACTGCAAACTCGGGGTGCCTACAAATCCATCTTGGGATGGGGGCCGTGACATTCGAGCGCTGGACCGCCAGCACAGCATATACAGGCACATGATCACTAACTTCTCGCAATTCAGCCGGCTGCCACTCGACACCAGCTGCAGGGGAGAGGTCTAAGAGCACCGATGGGGGCAGAGAGGTATAAATTCTATCCAATCTAGCAGTGCTGAAGAGGCGACCGTCACGTAGAATACAGTGTGTGTGATTATCCTGTCCTATCTCGGTGTACCTATGGAAATATCTCCCAAACTCACTGGCTAATGATCCACTGGGGGTACGGTCAAGTGAGGGGTCAACATGCTGGCGCGCCTCTCCCAATTCACAGAAATTCCAGTCACCACCAACGAAGACTGTCGCATGACGGGGGTCCAGAGCACGCGATACACACGATAAGAACTCTTTCTTAGCAGGAACAGAGAAATGAGGAGGGAGATGGACAGAACAAAGCTGAAGGGAGCCTTGTGTACCTTTAAGATCGACCGTGAGACATCTGCCAGCTACCACATTCATCGCATCATTGACCTCGAACTGAGAATGAAGGCGCTCATGGATACACACCAGAACACCACCAGAGATCTCGTCGGGGCAGAAGGAGCCATAACATCTGTGATGGGGGAGGAGGCGAGAGAGGGTGCCTAAGTCCCCTTCGTGTCCGTGAGATTCTTGAATTAGGAGGGCGTCGAATTTCTCTGCTAGCCTAAGGAACGTATTAAAAGTTTTACTCTGCTTAAAGTGGTCCCCACTCTCAGCCCCAAAGAGAGTGGCAGCATTCCAACTACAGACACTGACCTGCTTGGAAGGAACCCAAGAGGAGGGGAGAGGGCCAGAGGACGCATTCGGCGGCGAATGCGAGACAGGCAAAAGAGAGGCAGGGCAGGCGTCATTCACTGTGTCCCCAGGTCAACTGAGGTTGAGCATGTTGGTGATGGGGGTCATGAGGTCAGCTGTGATGCCCCAGTCCTCGCAGTCGGTCTGGTTCCACACGGCAGTGCCCTCTGGATCGACGCGGATGAGGTCCCACACGTCATTCTCGTTCGTGATCGAAATAGAATTCGAGAACCCTGAGCATCCCAGTTTGCATTTCGACGTCCAGTCTTGATGTCCACGAAGTATCTTCATCAACGGCAACCATGCCTGTCCAAGATGTCGCTGGCGCATCCTGACTTCATGAGGAAGGTCACCCCTGCAGCGGAGCGTGGTCACCGATCCTCCGCGAGGGTCCGTCCACGTAATCTGATTCATGCCAAACCATGTTGAGAAGTCCTTTGCTTGCTGCTCAGTATTCCAGATGACACTGAAGCTTTGACTCGACCGATGAAAATGAGGAGTGGCATCTCCGATAGGAAGAGAATCAGGAAGGCGACGAGCAATATCGTCCCAGACTTTGCGCCTCGCCACATCGAGCACCTTCCGAGGGAACGTGCCCACCCACCTGCGACAGACGTTCTGGGAGTCCTGCGGAGCCGCAGCACCGAGATTCATATTATGTGCAATCGAAGATGCAGTCGACGGAGTGGCGCCCACGCTACTGGGAAACTCCCAGCGACGGCGCTTTGCTCCAGACTGTCCACTGTGCTGTGACCCACCTGCATCCGAAACGCTAGCAGAGCACCTGTTCATGTCCTTCTTCAACCTGTCCACCGCCTCCATGCACTCGGTGTACTTCGTGTCCACCTTCTGGTGAAGGTCGGCCACGTTGGTCTCGAGCGCAGCAACGGCAGGCTTGAGAGCGAGCAGTCCCTCGATCGCTTCATCAGTCTTGGATGTCCGAGCTAGTAACTCTGCGTGTTGCTTTGACTGATTCTCGGCCATCATTTTCAGCATCTCGCCCAGCGACGCGATGTCCGCCATGGCTGGAGGGAGAACGGAACTCGAACGAGAGTGATACAATAATCAAACTGGGTGAAATCGTGTGCAGCCAAAGCAAGAGAACGGCAGTCCCTGTCCGTGGGCCTCTCCAGGACTGCACACCCGCGCGGTCCGCCTCGACACTCGAGACGGGGGATCCCCAAATGTTGCCTTGAGCCAAAATGGCTTGAGCCAAAATGGCTACGGGTGCTGATTCGGATGATGATGATGATGATGATGATGACGGTGATGGAGATGATGATGATGATGATGATGATGATGATGACAACGATGATGGCACTGGTGATGATGGTGATGATGGTGGTGATGTATATGATGATGCTGATGATGCGGATGATGATCATGACGATGACGATGATGATGCTGCTGCTGCTGATGATGATAGTGTGCTGTTGTTGAGAACGACTGATGGCACTGATGATGATGCTGGTGGTGGTGTTGATGGTGATGGAGATGCTGTTGGTGTTGATGTTGCTGTTGATGGTGATGATGATGCTACTGATGATGATACTGACGATGACGGTGATGACGGTGATGGTGCTTGCGAGAGATGGTGATGGTGACGAGGGTGATGATAATGATGGTGAGCACGATGATGATGTGGTGTTGAGGATGACGAAGACGTTGATGATTATGATGATTATGGTGATGGCGGTGATGATGATGATGATGATGATGATGATGATGATGATGATGGTGGTGGTGGTGGTGATGATGCTGGTGGGTAGGATGGTGGTAATGATGATGCTGATGATGATGATGATGATGATCATGATGATGAGAATGGTGGTGGTGTTGTTGATGCTGGTGGGGGTACTGGTGATGGTGGTCGTGATGATGACAATGATGATGGTGATGATGATGGTGATGATGATGAGGGGAAGGAGGAGGAGGAACAAAAAGCAGGAAAGGGATGGAGGAGGAGGGGGAGGAGGAGGAGGAGGAGGAGGAGGGAGGTGGAGGAAAGGAGATGGAGGTAAGGGAGGGGGGGAGGCGGAGGTGGGGAGGGAGGAGGGAGGATGGAGGGATATGAGGACGACTACAGGGAGGACAAGGACAAGGACAAGGCCCTGCCTTTCTATCCTGACTGTCACTGCCTCACTGCCTCCTCATGCCCTCCCCCGTCTACTCAGACCTGCTCGGGGGCATCTGGAGAAGAAAAAGGGATACTGTCGCCGCAACGAGACCGCACAATTCTCCACGGAATGCCTACCACCTGCGAGTCTGTCTTCCATGCTAAGCCGATACGGTCCCTAGACTATCTGGAGGCTGATCCATCATAGGACCCTGCGCTGATTGTGAAGGGCGTTCCAACAAAAGCAAGCAAGGTGGGAGCACGGGGCTGCAAATCTCAACCATCCGCGTCGCCGCACCCATCCTACATAGAATCTGCAGAATGGAATAATGGTCAGCGCACACGGAACTATCAACACTCTGCGGAGGCAGGAGGGAGAGGAGGAGGGAAGGGGCCCATGGACAATGGATTACGATGAGGATGAGGGAGAAGGTGGACCATGGACTACAACTCCGCATGCTATTTTTTAAGCTGGCTGCTTCCATAAACGTGACACACGTCCCCTAAAACAGGTGATAACAGTTACACCAGGGAGCTGGGCTACGGCGGGGTGTAGTATGTCCCCTCAAGCACGTGGAAAACATACACCACGCTTGTGCACGATGGTGGTGCGGAAGCAAGCGCCGGGCCGGGCCGTCACCACTGACAAGTCTGCACTAGAAGAGTATCGTGTATCCCGACATCGTAGAGAACAGATGAGTGCAGAACCACTGCGAAACTGCCACGGCGAGCTGGGGCCCTAGATGGCGCGCGCTTGAGCACCTGGGCAGACCAAGCGGATTATGAAAGAAAGGGACAGATGGTTATTGGCCAATTCAGCCATGCCAAATCAAGCCTATAATTACAATACTGCCACATGAACACATATCAGAACAGGCAATGAATCTGACCTTTCGGAAAATGAGCCCAATATATCCAGGGCTCTGAACGAACATCCAGTTCACCAGGCCTGCAGGCATCGCTTCATGCGCGCTCAGAAAATTATTCACCAAATGAGCTTCCTGAAAGCCAAAGAGCAAACAATTGTCCAGGCAAGCGCAGGAATGTATGTTATCGGTCACCGTAGCTGCACTGGGAGTCTGCGTCGTCCTCCTCGCCAGGCCTCTGCACTCTGTCCACCTTCCACCTGGCCAGGCGATGCCCCAACGCCACCTCCCTTTGCGGCCCCCTTCCCTGACGACAACCCCCCCCCTCCCCCTCCCTCCCCCTCCCCCTCGCCACTCTTCCCTTCGCTCCCCTCCCTTTCCCTCCAACCAGGCAGCTGGGCCTCCCGGGCTCGTTCTCCCTGCTGCGCGAACGCGCGAGGCGCGCCTCCCCCCGACCGCGCTCTCGCGCCGCGCCCTCGCGGAGGAGGGGCAGCTCCCCAGCCGGGACCGTGCAGCGCGCCCTCTGCGGGTGGCTCAGGGAGCAGACGGGCTGGGGCAGGAGTAAGGAATCGCGACACCACCCACCAGCGCCAGGAACCAGGGGAGGCCCCTCCTGGTGGTGTGGCCCCCGCTCGAGGCGTTCTCGGTCTCTCCAGCTCGGGAAGGCATCGTGGACCTTCTCGCTGAAGGTGGCCCCCCGGCGGTGGTGTCGCCTCTCCCCAGGTGGGCCGAGAGGGGAGGACAAGCTCAGAGGGGGAAACAACGACCTGGAATCGACGATACATCGTCGATACATCGGCGATACGCACCCGATTGGGAAACCTGTCCAAGTTCCTGGGCAGGTCGGGGCCCCCAGACCCCATCGGTGAGAAATGGGCGATTCGGGGTCGAGGCTTCCCCCCACTCAGCCCTACACCTCCCCTGTCGGCGCCCCTCTAACATTGGGGGGGAGGGGGGGAGCGTCCCGTGGGCGGGCGGGGACGGGGGGGCTGGTTCGCCTGGAGGGCGTTCCGGCCGTCCCGGGGCACCTCGGCGTGGGGGGCGGCACAACCGGCGAGGCCGCCCGCTCTCGAGGAGAGGCGGAGGGGAGCTGGCGCCGACGCGCTTCGAGAGTGCGCGGGCTCAGCGAGCCGAGCGCCTCGAACACGCGCTGCAGCATGACCTGTCTGACACTTGTTTTCGCCCCCAGTAGGATGTGCGAGACGAAGGCAAGACAGAGACGGCATCCTCACAGGAATAGCCATGGATCTCTGAGACCTGGCGGGTCTGGAGGACGTATCGGGCGCCGCGGCCGCTCCGGGGCGCTCCGGGAGCGGCCCAGAATGCTCTGAAGCGAGTTCCCCCGTCCTCGGCACTCTGCATCGGGGTCCTACAGTCTCTCGCGCCTCAGAGCTGATGGCAACAAGGGCTCCAGGCTGGGCTCCTCGAGGGGGCCCCCCGCCCTGGGCTCCTGATCAAGGGTGCCCTTCCTGTGTCCCCGGCGGGTCCCAGCCTCAACAGCAGCACGGTGCAAAGCAGCCCAATTCACCTTCAACGCAAGACAGCAATGCAAACCAAGACGATGTATCCGAATTGAAACAGATATTCAACATAATTGCGAATCATCGCAACTCAACACACAGCAAATGATCGAGAAAAACTCGAACCAACGCAATGCATTGGGATACAGTGAACAGCAACGCGCATTAAGGTACGGCAGATCGGCGCAGTGAAGCAACGCCATAACATGCGACAACCTGTTTCCTGTGAGGTATGCTCGGGTAGAGCTTTTCTAATCCGCCGAACCCCGTTGGACAGGGGTGAAACGGCGTGTGAGATGGTTGCCTGTCTCTGTCTCCCTTTCTCCCCCACCCCCCCTGGGGTCGAAGGGGAGGAGGGGGACGGGGAGGAGGAGTCTGCCCAAGATGCCCACAGGACGTCACCAAAAACCCTCAAGGGGGACCAAGAGGCGCCCAAAAGAGGCCCAGAGGGGGAACTCGTGGGGGCTCGTGGAGCCTCCCCCACAAGGTGGCCCTCAAGAACCCTGGAGGCTCCCACCCTGCAAGCGACGTGGAGGAAGAGGAGGGCGAATCAGCGACAACTACACGCAGGCATCATGACGGGAAGCGGCAAACAGCTGTTTCAAAATCGCAAGTCGTATATCTCCCCTTCTTAGGGTCCACGGAATGGCGTAATCCTCTTGGATACTCAAATCGCTTGTCTTCAAGTTTGCTTACACGGAGCTTGTCTTGGGCAATTCAGCGTCCACGGTTTCATACTTACTTGTCACGGGCAGAAGCATTACAATATGATCATGATGACGAGGAGGAGCTGCAGCCGGAGCTGTAGCAGAGAGATATGACAAGACAGGACCAGTTGTGATAATGAGCCCGCTGGCTTGCTTCTACCAGTGAAGTGGCTCTCTGCTGCGCAGCGTGTGCCTACCAGCGGCACCCGCTGGAAGAACGGCCTGCTCTGGCCGACAATGGGACGGGGGAACTATGCTGCCCAGGGCAGGAGGAGGAAGGGGGGAGGACGGCAAAGACGACGACGGACAACACTTACGACCTCGTTGTGCGCCCTCATGTCGCGGCGCTTCTCGTTGTTCTTGCGCTCCCTCCCCGACCAGCCACAACCGGGAGAGCTATGTCCCTTGTCCCTCATCCCGGTGGGGCCCATCATATCGACGATCAATCCAGAAGGGAGTCGAAGTCGATGAGTCCCCAAAGACTCAGGGGGAAACAAACATCATCCTGGCGACAGACCCAACCATGTGCAGTTGTGAGTAACGCAGTTGTGTGCATCGTCCTCGGTGGACCTCTCTATGGGCCACGACGCGTGTGAGGGGTGTGCCAAATTGAACACGGGTACGCCATGCGGGCGGCCCCTGCCACTGGAGCCTTCGGTGGAGCTCCGTATGGCGCCACGAAAGGTGTGAGGGGTACACTGACATGGGGGGGATGGAACCGCATGCGGGCGCTGCCGCTAGGGCCTCCGGTGGAGCTTTTCATGGAACAACGAAACATGCGAACATTGCGCCGAAATGGGGGGCGGAACCGTGTGCGGGCGCTGCCACTGGGGCCTTCAGTCGGGCTCCCTATGTGGCCACGAAACGTGTGAGGGGTGCGCCGAAGTGAGGGGTGGAACCGCATGCGGACGCTGCCACCAAAGCCTTCGGTAGAGCTCCTTTCGGGGCCAAGGAAATTCTGAGACGTCCGCCGACATGGAGGACGGAACCGCATGCGGGCGCGGCCACTGGGGCCTTCGGTGCAGCTCCCTACGGGGCCACGAAGCGTGTAAAGTGTGTGCCGAAATGTGGAGAGAGAAACTGCATGTGGGCACTGTCCGCTGGGGCCTTAGGTGGAACTCTCAACGGGGCCACGAAGAGTGCGAGGGGTGCGCCGAACTAGGGAGTGGAACCGCATGCGGGCACTACCACAAAAACCAGCGGTTGAGCTTCCTGTCGGTCCACGACACGTGTGAAGGGTACGCCGAAGTACGGTGTGGAATCGTGTGCAGGAGCTGCCACTGGGGCCTTCGCTGGAATTCCCTATGGGGCCACGAAACGTTTGAGGGGTGCGCCGAAATGGCTAGTGGAACCGCATGCGGGCGCTCCCGCTGGGGCCTTCGGTGGGACTCCCTATGAAACAACGAAACATGCGAAGGGTGCGCCGAAATTGGGGGGTGGAACCGTGCGCGGGCGCTGCCACTGGAGCTTTCGGTGGGGCTCTGTGTGTGGCCACGAAACGTGTGAGGGGAGGGGTGCGCCGAAACAGGGGGTGGAATCGAATGCGGGCGCTGAGACGTGTGAGGGGTGCGCCGAAACAGGGGGTATAACCGCATGCGGGAGCTGCCACTGGGGCTTTGGGTGCAGCTCCCCCTGGGGCCAAGAAAAAATCTGAGACGTCCGCCAACATGGAGGATGGAATTGCATGCGGGCGATGCCACTGGGGCCTTCGGTACAGCTCGTTGGAGGGCGCGCCGCTGGATGGCCCCAGAGGGGGGGGGGGGTCGGACCGCCCCCCCTTCCCCCGATCCGTCGTCGGGCCCCCCCCCCCCTCCCCCCCTCTCCCGATCCGTGGTCGGGGACCCCCCCCCCTTTTCCCGGTCCGTCGTCGGGGACCCCCCACCCTGCCCCCTTTCAAAAGGTGGGGGGGTCCGAACCCGCCCCACCCTCCCCCCCTTCGCCCGCCAAATTCGACCCCCCCCCCCCTCCCCCCTTTCGCCGCGGCGCCCCCGGTATCCGGAACCCGACCCCTACCACCCCTAACACTAATCCTCCCCCTTACCCGAACCCCTAACCCTAACCCCAAACCCTAGCCCCAAACAGTACTCACTACTCATTACGCACTACTCACTACCTACAATTCACTACCCGCTACTCACTACTCACTTCTCACTACACACTACTCACTACCCACGAATCACTACCCACAACGCACTACTCACTACTCCCTACTCCCTACTCACCAATCACTACTCACTACAAACTACTCACTACTCACTACCCACTACTCAATACCCAGTACTCACTCAACACAACTCGCGCCCACTACTCCCAAACCACAAATCACTACTCACTACCCACTAACCACTATCCACTACTCACCCTTCACTACTCACTACTCACTGCCCACAACTACTCATTACTCACTATCCACTACTCGCTACTCGCTACTCCCTACACAGTACCCACTACTCACTGCTCACTACTTGCTACTCCCTACACCCTACTCGCTACCCAATACGCACTATTCACTACCCTGTACTCACTACTCACTACGCTCCCACTACTCGCTACTCACTACTTCCTACTCCCTACTAACCACTACTCCCAACTCACTACTCCCTACTCACTACCCAGTACTCAATACTCACTAATCACTAAACACTGTTCACTACCCACTACTCACTACTCACTAAGCACTACTCACTACCCAGTAACCACTACCCACTACTTTACTGCAGAGAACTCACAATTCACTACTCACTGCGCACTGCCCACAACTCACTACTCACTATCCGCTACTCGCTACCCAATACGACATATTCACTACCCACTACGCACTACTCGCTACTCACTACTCCCTACTCCCTACTCACGAGTCACTAGTCGCAATTCGCTACTCACTAGTCATTACTCACTACTCACGACTCACTACTCACTACCCACTGATTTCTACTCGCTACTCCCTACTCACGATCCACTACTCAATACCCACTTCTCGCTTCTCACTACTCACTACTCATTACTCCCTACTCACTACGCACAACCCACTACTCACTACTCACTACGCACTACTCGCTACTCCCTACTCGCTACGCACAACTCCCTACTCACAACTCACTACTGACTCCTGACTACTCCCTCCTTACTACTTACTACTCACAACGCCCTACTCGCTTCTCGCTACTCACTACTCGCTACTCCCTACTCGCTACTCCCTACTCGCTACTCGCTACTCGCTACTCACCACTCACTACTCTCTACTCACTGCGCACTACTCACTACTCACTACTCACTCCTCGCTATTCGCTACTGTCTGCTCCCTCATCCCCACTCCCTGCGTACTACTCACTATGCACTACTCACTCCTCACTACTCACAATTCCTTACTCACTTCTTCCTTCCCGCTACTCACTACCCACTACTCACTACTCACTACTCTCTACGCGCTACTCACTACTACCACTACTCATTACCCACTACTCACTACTCACGACTCACTGCGCACTACTCACTATCAAATACCCACTACTCACCAATCGCTACTCAAAACACTCTACTCTCTACTCACTACCCGAGAGGCCCCTTCCCCAGCCCCCTGTTCGGCGCAAAGGTTGGGAGGGGGGGGGGGTCGAACCCCCCCCCGCCTTTCCAGCGACAAGGGGGGAGGGGGGGCGGACCCCCCCCCCCTCCCTTCAAGGGGGGGAGGGGGGTTCGGAGCCCCTCCATCCCCTTAAGAGGGGGAGGGGGGGAGGGGGGTCGAAAATCTCAGCCTCCTTTGAAGGGGGGGAGGGGCGGGGGGCGGTTCTGCGAGCACCCCCCCCTTTTGTGTATTCAGGGCCATCCACTGGCGCGCTTTCCCTATGAAGCCACGAAACTAAAGGGTGTGCCCAACTGGCCACGGAGCGTGTGAGGGGTGTGCCGGAATGGGCGGGAAACCGCATGCGAACTTTGCCACTGGGGCCTTCGGTTGAGCTCCCTATGGGGCCACGAAACGTGTGAGGGGTGTGCCCAAATGGGCGGGGAAGCACATGTGGATTTTGCCACTGGGGCCCTCGGTGGAACTCCCAATGGGGTCACGAAGCGTGTGAGGGGTGCGCCCAAATGTGCGGGGAAGCGCATGTGGATTTTGCCACTGGGGCCTTCGGTGGGGCTCCCTATGATGCCACAAATCGTGTGAGGGTTGTGCCCACATGGGCGGGGAAGCGCATGTGGACTTTGCCACTGGGGCCTTCGGTGGGGATCCTTATGAGGCCAGGAAGCGTGTGAGGGTTGGGGTGTGCCGAACAGGTTGGCACTCGAAGGGCAGAGGCAGGGATGGGAGCAGGGAGGGGGGAAGGAGGAGAGAAGGAGACGCGGGGACTCTCCCCAAAACGAGGACCCAACTCCACAAAACGGTTGGGAACTATGCAACATGAAAAAAACCAGAGGTCCGCACGGATTTCTCGGATCGGCGAAACCCGCCGAACGTTTGTGCTAATGATGTCTCTTACTCTTCGACCGGCAAGGATACCGAAAGGGGGCTTCGCGGATCAGCTCGTTAGGGAACGCGTCCCGCGACGGAACCGAAACCAAATACAAGCATTAGATTCCGCACCCCCCCTTTTGAAGTACGGAAGGGGCACGTATTAGCGAGCAGAAGAACGGCACAACTTAAACCTGCACCGCTCTTCGCGCGCTAAACGAAAGGACCAAAAGCTCCACCCGGGTCTTGGCCAGCCCGCCTCCGGCGCTTGGCCGACCTGCTGGCGAGCGGCCGCGACGAGCCCGGCAGCAGCAGCATCGAGCCGCGGTCGCAGGGGCTGTCCGCACCTGGGATGTACTCGGGGAAGTCCGCGCGGTCGTTGAAGCTTGGCAGATCGGCGGCCCCGTGGGCCTCCACACTTCATGAAAACCACGCGCACTTCAATAGATAGCCAGATAGATATACATATATAGAAAGAAAGGAAGATAGATTCGAGTGGGGGGGCCGAACGGTCATTCGTTGTCCCTGCGTGCGTGGCTGAATCAAGAATTCGTGGTGAGAGTTATGTTTGTTAAGTTGTTGTTGTTGAAGAAGAAGAAGAAGAACTCTCATTTCTAAAAATTATTACTGTTGATCCCCAATAGTTAACCGGTGCATGCTGTCTTTTCTCCATCAAAGTGTGCCCCTCGACACTCGCACCCTGTTTTTTGACAGGGAAATCTTCCTACTCAAAGAGGGCCCCTGGTCCCCCGGATTACAACAAGAACAACAACAACAACAACAACAACAACAACAACAACAACAACAACAACGGCTCCCGCCTGAGACTTCCTCCAAATTTACTGAGGACCCCCGCTCCTGAGACTTCCTCACCATTTAATTAGGATCGGTGCTCCCGCCTGTGACTCCCTCGCAATTTAGTCGGGACCCTCGCTCCCATTTGAGACGTCCTCACAATTTACTTAGGAAAGGCGCTCCCGCTTGAGACTTCCTCGCAATTGAATCAAGACTGCGCCAAAGACGCCATTCACTTAGTGATCGCGCTCTCGCCATACTCAAGCATCCCGCGATGTCCCACCCGCCCGACCCGCCCGTCAGGGGATCGCCCGCCCGTCGTGGGCTCCCGCCCGAGACTTCATTCAGGAACGGCGCGTTCGCCCAGGACCTCCTCGAACATTCACGCTGTTACCTTCCTGCTCCTCCTCCCTCTCCCTGCTCCCTCCTCAATCCTCTCCTCCCTTCTCTATCCGCCCTCTTTTCCCTCATCCTCATGCGTCTCTGTCCTATCCCCTCTCCCTCCCCTCCCTCCTCCCTTCTCCCTCCCCTCTCCTGCCTCCTCCCTCCCTCTTTCTTTTTCCCAACCATCCTGTGGTGTTGGGTCCTCGTTTTGAAGAGACGGTGCCCGCGTCCTCTCCTCTCCTCCTCTCCTCCTCTCCTCCTCCTCCCCCTCCTCCTCCCTCCTCCTCCCTCTCCTCCCTCCTCTCTGCGTTTCACCCACCCATTACAGCGCTTCGTGGCTCCATAGGGAGCTCCACCGAAGGCCCCAGTGGGGGTGTTCGCATGCGGTTCCCCCACCCAGGGCAGCGTTTCGTGGCCCCATAGGGAGCTCCACCGAAGGCCCCAGTGGGGGTGTTCGCATGCGGTTCCCCCACCCAGGGCAGCGTTTCGTAGCCCCATAGGGAGCTCCACCGAAGGCCCCAGTGGGGGTGTTCGCATGCGGTTCCCCCACCCAGGGCAGCGTTTCGTGGCCCCATAGGGAGCTCCACCGAAGGCCCCAGTGGGGGTGTTCGCATGCGGTTCCCCCACCCAGGGCAGCGTTTCGTGGCCCCATAGGGAGCTCCACCGAAGGCCCCAGTGGGGGTGTTCGCATGCGGTTCCCCCACCCAGGGCAGCGTTTCGTAGCCCCATAGGGAGCTCCACCGAAGGCCCCAGTGGGGGTGTTCGCATGCGGTTCCCCCACCCAGGGCAGCGTTTCGTGGCCCCATAGGGAGCTCCACCGAAGGCCCCAGTGGGGGTGTTCGCATGCGGTTCCCCCACCCAGGGCAGCGTTTCGTAGCCCCATAGGGAGCTCCACCGAAGGCCCCAGTGGGGGTGTTCGCATGCGGTTCCCCCACCCAGGGCAGCGTTTCGTGGCCCCATAGGGAGCTCCACCGAAGGCCCCAGTGGGGGTGTTCGCATGCGGTTCCCCCACCCAGGGCAGCGTTTCGTAGCCCCATAGGGAGCTCCACCGAAGGCCCCAGTGGGGGTGTTCGCATGCGGTTCCCCCACCCAGGGCAGCGTTTCGTGGCCCCATAGGGAGCTCCACCGAAGGCCCCAGTGGGGGTGTTCGCATGCGGTTCCCCCACCCAGGGCAGCATAGGGAGCTCCACCGAAGGCCCCAGTGGGGGTGTCGCATGCGGGGCCCCCCCATAGGGAGCTCCACCGAAGGCCCCAGTGGGGGTGTTCGCATGCGGTTCCCCCACCCAGGGCAGCGTTTCGTGGCCCCATAGGGAGCTCCACCGAAGGCCCCAGTGGGGGTGTTCGCATGCGGTTCCCCCACCCAGGGCAGCGTTTCGTAGCCCCATAGGGAGCTCCACCGAAGGCCCCAGTGGGGGTGTTCGCATGCGGTTCCCCCACCCAGGGCAGCGTTTCGTGGCCCCATAGGGAGCTCCACCGAAGGCCCCAGTGGGGGTGTTCGCATGCGGTTCCCCCACCCAGGGCAGCGTTTCGTAGCCCCATAGGGAGCTCCACCGAAGGCCCCAGTGGGGGTGTTCGCATGCGGTTCCCCCACCCAGGGCAGCGTTTCGTGGCCCCATAGGGAGCTCCACCGAAGGCCCCAGTGGGGGTGTTCGCATGCGGTTCCCCCACCCAGGGCAGCGTTTCGTAGCCCCATAGGGAGCTCCACCGAAGGCCCCAGTGGGGGTGTTCGCATGCGGTTCCCCCACCCAGGGCAGCGTTTCGTGGCCCCATAGGGAGCTCCACCGAAGGCCCCAGTGGGGGTGTTCGCATGCGGTTCCCCCACCCAGGGCAGCGTTTCGTGCCCCATAGGGAGCTCCACCGAAGGCCCCAGTGGGGGTGTTCGCATGCGGTTCCCCCACCCAGGGCAGCGTTTCGTGGCCCCATAGGGAGCTCCACCGAAGGCCCCAGTGGGGGTGTTCGCATGCGGTTCCCCCACCCAGGGCAGCGTTTCGTGGCCCCATGGGGAGCTCCACCGAAAGCCCCCGTGGCGCAGTTCGCATGCGCTTCCCCCACCCAGGGCAGCGTTTCGTGGCACCATAGGGAGCTCCACCGAAGGCCCCAGTGGCGCAGTTCGCATGCGGTTCCCCCACCCAGGGCAGCGTTTCGTAGCCCCATAGGGAGCTCCACCGAAGGCCCGCCCCGGTGGCGCAGTCCGCATGCGGTTCCCCCATCCAAGGCAGCGCTTCGTGGCCCCATATGGAGCCCCACCGAAAGCGGCACCCACAACGCGTTACCAACAATTGCTTATGGTTGGGTCTTTCGCCAGGATAATTGTTTTCTCTCTCTCTCTCTCTTTCTCTCTCTCTCTCTCTCTCCCCTCTCTCTCTCTTTCTCTACCTCTCGTATGTATTCTTTGTTGGTTTTCTCTTTCTCTCTCTATTTCTCTCTTTCCCTCTCTCTCTCTCTCTCTCTTTCTCTCTCTCTCTCTGCCTCTAAGCAACCGTCCCCTCTTCGCTCCTTCTCTCCAAGCGTTTTCCCTATTCCTTCGTCCCTCCCCGTCCCTTCCTCCCACCCTCCTTCGTTCTCCCCTTTCCTCTTTTTGCAAGGCCCGCACCAATTCCAATGGCGGGCACATGTACGCCCACGAAGGATTGTCCGCCCGTTCAGGTTTGCCCACCTGTCTAAGCCCGCCGCCCCCCGCAAAGAGAAATAATCCCCCCAAACGGGGTGTGATCGAATACCAAAAGGGCGGGTATCGATGGTGTGGGGAACTCGTTTTACATGACACATGGGCAAATAAGAACGACCAGTCCTACAATGAGTGTTGTTTTTGTTGCTGTTGCTGTTGCTGTTGTTGTTGTTGTTGTTGTGGTTGTGGTTGTTGTTGCTGTTGTTGTTATTGTCAGTGTTGTTGTTGTTGCTGTTGTTGTTGCTGTTGCTGTTGCTGTTGCTGTTGTTGTTGTTGTTGTTGTTGTTGTTGTTGTTGTTGTTGTTGTTGTTGTTGTTTGTTGTCGTCGTCGTCCCACCCGCGACCCACCCGCGACCCACCCCGCGACCCACCCGCGACCCACCCCGCGACCCACCCTCAAGGGAGGAAAAACCACCCGGACCCGACAACTGATGCTTACTAAGCGGCTTTGGGCGTTGATTAAACAGCCCTGTCCTGTTCGATTCGTTCCCTGTGTGCGTGTACTAAACGGTTTCGCTTGTCGGGGTAATTATTACGGGGTGGATTTTCTGCCCTCTACACCCGCGACCCACCCGCGACCCAACAGCGACCCAACCGCGACCCACCCGCGACCCATTTGCGACCCACCCGCGACCTACCCACATTGGTTTAACAGAAAAATCGGCGCCTGCGGCGGGCTCGTTGCATAATTTGTGAAACTTTGGCGCCTACGGCGGGCTTCTCCTGAGTCTCGCAAACAGGCGACGTCCCCACCGCCCCCTCGCTATTATCCGCATCTGCGGAGTGCTACGTAGATCTCCGCCGATCCGGCGCGTGAGTTTCAAAGACCCTCAGAACAGCCTGAATTCCTGAGTTTCAGCTCTACTGGGGGGTGGGTGCCAGGGTGGCTCTGCCGGGGTAGGCGGAAAAAATGCCGAAGACGGCCCAAGAAACCCCCAGCAGGCCCCCAGAGGCCCCCAATACGCCTGAGGAGGCCCCAAGACGCTTCCAACTGGCCACGAAGAGGCCCCCTGAAGCCACCGACAAGCCTCCAAGAGTGTCAAAAATCCATCCAAGACTCCTTCTAGAGACCTCCAAGCTGCCTCCAAGACCCCCCCCGCGAAGCCCAAAACCAGCCCCAATGCTTCCAGACGCTTGCGTCTGAACATAAGCGTTGTAATACAAAACGTTATGCCACGCTTCCACATAGTCTCCCGTCTTCGGTGTCCTTCATCCGTGATCTCACAAGGGCCCGCAGAGGACCGCGCGAAGGCAACAGAGACCCCAAGAAACACCATGGTTCCCAGCAGAGACTGGTGACGCACAAGGCTCCACAACGAACTGTGACGCAGGCAGCTCTAGCACACAACTTTTCAGAGAATGCGCCAAGTCGGCGAGGCGTCAACCCAAAGAGGGCCAACACCTGGCCCCAAAGAGGCTTTCCAACAACCGCCGGACATCTCCAACAATCGCCGAACATCTTCTCATCCTCGTCATGTTGCATGTTCCTCCTTCTCACCCTCCCCTTGTTCCACTTCCCGTTTCCTCCTGCTCCTCCTCGTCCTCAGCATCCTGCTATTCCTGCACCCCCAACCCCCTCCACCTCATCATGATCATCCTCCTCCTCATCATCCTACTCCGTCGCCTCCATTCCCAATCCTCATCATCATCCTCACCGCCCGCCGTCGTCGCCGGTCATGACCGCCATCGTGTGCTTCCGGCAGCAGCGGAAGCGCCCCAGATCGGCGGCACTGGCTGGAGGCCACTACAATATCGATACATTGACACATTGATTGATTGATTGATTGATTGATTGATTGTTTGATGCGTTCATTGGTTGAGAGAGAGAGAGAGAGAGAAACAAAAAAAAAAAAAGAGGGACAGAGAGAGAGAGAGAGAGGAACGGACACCTCGCCAGCAGGGCACCACCCTTCACCCTTCGTCGCCGGCCCAAATCCAATCAAAACCAATCCCTGGACCCCTCCCATGGCCCATCCTGGCCAATTTTTCCATCAGCTTCAAGCCGCGGCGACGCAAGCCTCAAGTCACTGACCAAAGCCTCCGAAACGAGGTCGCCGTCGCCGCCGTCGCCACTGCTGTCGTCGCCGCCGTCGTCGCCGCGGCCGTCTTCGCCGTCTGCGCCTCGTCGTCGCCGTCGTCGGCGCTGGGGGGGGGCCTCCAGGGCCCGGCGCGCAGGCACCGCGTCACAGAGCGAAGAGCGGCTCTGGGAGGAGCGGCCCCCAGTCCGCGAGCTGCTGCACGAGCGGCTGTGGGAGGAGTCCCACACCTCGCTGGGGTTGCTGTGTGGGGGGGGGAGGAGGCGGTGCGCTGATCCAGCCTTCCCTGCTGGGAGGAGGAGGAAGAGACCCGGCCATCCTCGTTGTGGAAAATTCACGGCGGGAAGCTTTTGGCAGACTTCGACCTCCGGGGAAACCTCACCGGGCCCCAGAACCGTCAAAAACAAAACGACTCAGGATGAAAAGCAGGTCCATGGGAAGGGGTCAAGACCTCCTGACCAGGAGGACGAGGAGGACCAGAGTCAACCCAATATGCATCAGCAATGCTGCAGTACACCCTCCCGTCCCAAGTCAAGTCCCCTCCTCCGCACACGTCCCTGCAAGGTTTCTTTTCCGCTGCAACAAGCGCACCCTTCGAACGACCAGCACCGTAAGGGTCTGCCAGTTTAGCGAGGGTGCCGTTTTGAGAAAAAACTGCCTTGCATCCTTCTGGCGCGTAATGCGAAACAATAGTATCATTGTTTGCAGGTCAACGAAATGCCAAAATATAGACACATTTCGAAATCTGACCGCCGCCCGGGCCCCTTCCGCCCCACCCGTGTAACTGTTGCACAAGTTTGCACTTGCGGCCATGAACTCTGGGAAATCTCAAGCGAGAGCTCCATTTTGGAAGGGAGCCGCCTTCGATCCGTGCAGTGCTTCACGTTTTGAAGCTGCGAGTCTGTTTAGAATTCAATTATTCGCCGACGAGATCCCAAAGTTGAAAACAGAACCGTCCTACAATCTCGCGGCTGTTAAACAAATTGTTCAAGCGAGTGCGCGGCGCCCAGGCGAGCCCACATTTTGAAAACGGCTGGCCTTCCATCCTTAAGACTACTGCAAGGTTTTAAAGCGAATGTGCGCGGCGCTCAGGCAAGCACACCAATTTGAACACAAACCACCTTCCATCCCTATAACTGGTCTTATGTTAAAACAATTATCCTGGCGAGAGACCCAATCATATACAGTCGTGAGCACCGCGTTGTGGGCATCGCTTTCGGTGGAGCCCACTTCTGGCCATGAAACTGGGTGTGCCGAATTGGCCGGGGAAACGCATGTGGACTTTGCCACTGGGGCCTTCGGTGGGCTCCCTATGGGGCCACGAAACGTGTGAGGGGTGTGCAGAAGTGGGCGGGGAACCGTACGTGGGCTTTGCTGCCACTGGGGCATTCGGTAGAGCTCCCGCATGTGGACTTTGCCACTGAGGCCTGCGGTGGGCTCCTTGTGAGGCCACGAAATGTGTGAGGGGTGTGTCGAAATGGGCGGGGAACGGCACGTGGACTTTGCCACTGAGGCCTTCGATGGGGCCCCCTATGGGACCACGAAGCGTGTGAGGTGTATTCCCAAGTGGGCGGGGAACCGCTTGTGGACTTTGCAACTGGGGCCTTCGGTGGAGCTCCCTATGGGGCCACGAAACGTGTGAGGGGTGTGCCGGAATGGGCGGGGAAACCCATGTGGACTTTGCTGCCACTGGGGCCTTCGGTAGAGCTCCCTACGGGGCCACGAGACGTGCGAGAGCTGTGCCGAAATGGGCGGGGAAACCCATGTGGTCTTTGCTGCCACTGGGGCCTTCGGTAGAGCTCCTTCAGGGGCCACGAAACGTGCCACGGGTGTGCCGAAATGGCCGGGGAAACGCATGTGGACTTTGCCACTGGGGCCTTCGGTGGGCTCCCTATGGGGCCACGAGACGTGTGTGGGGTGTGTCGAGATGGGCGGGGAACGGCACGTGGACTTTCCCACTGAGGCCTTCCGTGGGGCCCCCTACGAGGCCACGAAGCGTGTAGTGAGGGGTGTGTCGAAATGGGCGGGGAACCGCTTGTGGACTTTGCCACCGTGTCCTTCGGTGGAGCTCTCTACGTGGCCACGAAGCGTGTGAGGGGTGCGCCGAACAGGTTGACATGCGGAGGGCAGGGGGAAGATGATGTGAGGAGGGAAAAACAAGGAGGAGGAGAGGAAGGAGACGCGGGGCGCTGTATCTTCAAAACGAGGACCCAACACAACAGGATGGTTGGGCAAAAAGCACTGTGCGCGGCGCGAATGCGAGAGCTCCATTTTGAGTACGAGCCCCCCTCTATCCTTGAAACTGTTGCAGGCGGAGGAGGAGGAGGAGCGCCCATACCCCGCCCCGAACATGCCCAAGAAGTCAAAATCATTCAAACAACGTCCTCGGTCCTCGGTCCTCGATCCTCCAGGGGACCCCCCAATCGTGACCCCGCCGGCGCTGCCCGAATCACTATTGCGTCTCCAGACTTATTGGGATCGGCTGGGCACCCAGTGGTGGCCGTGGGCGGGCTCCACCGCGGCCTGGCCGCCAGCGCCGAACGCGAGCTCCCGCCCATCATCCTGCGTGCGGTCGTCGCCGGTGCCGTCGTCGTCGCCGTCGCCGTCATCGTGGTCTGGCAGAGGGCCCCAAGCTTTCCGATAACCACCAGTCAGAAGAAGCGGGTAGCAACATGATGTCGGAAAACGCTGAAAATAGATTGGGTCCCCGCTTGCCGCCCGGAGAGGCAGAGCAAGGGAAAACCGCTCGAGACGTGAAGCAGGAAGGCGCCCAAAGTATATTCGGACTCGAAGGTCCACGAATACGTAGTTTCAACGACCGAAGGGTACGAACTGCCTTGGCCCAGCTACTGCGGTGTGTCAGAACGGCAAGCACTAGAGGACAAGCGCAGGGCGTGGGCAGCAGCGGCACGGGTAATGGAGACGGAGGCGCACGGCCGGCAGCAGAGCCTGTAGCGGAGCGGAGCCTGTAGCGGAGCGGAGCAGGACAGACAGTGCAAGGAGGCCAGACGCTCCACGATACCAAGCTGCACTGGGATGGCTGGTTGGTACGACCTCTTGCCCAGGGTCCGCGATGGGGTTACGCAAGGAGGTCCAGGCCCTCACCGCCGCCGCCGCCGACGCCGTCGTCATCGTCGCCAGTCGTCCCAACATCCCTTTTGACAACACATTATGGACAGCTTGTCGGGCTGCGTCCAGCCGTGGCGACGAGAACCCCCAGAAATGCTCAACCACCTCCGAAACGATGACGATGACGACAACGAAGACGACGGCGACCACGACGATGACGACAACGTTGTCGTCATCTTCAGACGGGGCGTTTCATTGTGGGGGCGTCAATGCCCGGACTGGTCCTGCGAATGCGACTGCCCGCTCCATGCCGTCCAGGCCTGGCTGCTGCTGAGGTCGCTGCTCTGATCCAGCACCTCGAAGCGCTGGCCTCCAGCCTTGAGTGCGAGTAAGGCAGGAAGCGCGCAATGACAGTCATTCGCCAGAGGATCATGATGCCAGGCGGAAGTGAGGTTAAATGGTGGTGGTGGCACATGGGTCTCATCGCTCATGATGGATCCGTTAAGCTATGCTTCAGATAGATCGGCATGAGGCACGAGACAGAAATAATAATCTCCTTTATCCTCGCGCGCGCGGGACGCGCGCAGTCCTCGGCTCGTTCCTCAGGTCCTCGGGCCAATCCTTCACAGCTGCGGGCAGCGTCGGCGGCGGCGGCGACCGGCGGCAAGCACGGGGAGCGAGCGGGGAGAGATCGTTGACAACTCCCCCAGCGGCCGGCCGCGTAGACCCCGCGTTTACAACCCAACCCAAAGAGCACCGCGGTTTCCTGGCACCCCCAGGGCACATTGGCCCCCACCCCGGCGCCAACCCCAAAAAGAAAAACGCTTTGCAGCGCCAGGGTAAGGGTGCAGATAATCCCGCCGGACCTCCTCTAGGCAAGGTCGGAGCGGGCCGACGTGCCCCGCAAATATTTGCCCAGGCCCATGAGAAGTAATGTTTCGTGTGCGAGTACTGTGTCCTTCTCATGATCCGCAAGTACTGCCGTGAAATATGATCCTCCTTTAGCATGTTCTTCCTCGCCTCCTAAATCGCGAGATCGAATTCCCTGTGCTGTCATATGCTATCATACACGGTGTCGCAGTCCTCATGCGACCACCATTGCCGCGTTGTGTTGCACACCGATTTCCTTCCATATTCATGATCATCACGATTTAAGGGGCCCAAGGACACACAAACACATACACACAAATAAAAGGATTCCCAATATTTTCAAATATTTTCTGGGTTTCTGTCCTCCCGCCCAATTCCAGCATTTTCCCATATTTTCTGCGGAGTCGACGATTAATTGTGTCTGTGTGCTTTTTCCCCTCCTGAACGATGGCGGTTGCGATTCCAGCGGTCCTTGTGCTGGACGCGCTGGCAGTTGTCGCGCGCCACGTAGCTGCTCGACGCGCGACGCACCGTCGTCTGTTCATCTTGCGCTTGGTGGCGCCATGGCGGCGTCGACGCGGGGTCAGTCAGGGCCTCGGCGAGCCTCGACCCCCCTTCGCGGCCCCTGCTCCGCGGCCTCGACGGCGCCGGAGGCGGGCCCTGCCTGGGCGACGCCCGCGCGCCGTCGCGCAGGGGGCGCCGATCGGAAACGGCGGCCGCCACGGGCCCGCGCGCGGGCGGCGCGGGGGGGGGGGGGGGGCAAGGAGCAGCAAATGCGGTTGCAGGAGCACTGACTGAGTCACTACCCCCGGTTTTCTCGGGATCATCTCTCAGTGGATCAGTCAGGGCCAGCTCGGGAAACCCCTCCGACTGAGTCCAGGGCGGGCCCCGCAACGGGCTCTTCTGGGCGTGGCGAGGGACTCGGCGCAACTGTGGGACTGGGTGATTCCACTGCCACGGCGATCGTCTCAATGCTCTGCGCTGGACGACTTGCGGGCACCCCGTCACCGGCTAAGCCGAAGACGCGGGTGCTATCGACACCGCGTGAACGCAAGTTGCCGATGAAACATGTAGCATTGTACTGTCCGTGTTTCTCAACCAAACGGGCCCACGCACATTGGCCTTCATGCTGTAATGCCTCTTTTTCCATTTGGTCTGGTTGACGAGGTCTGCCATCGCATTCGGTCTGGATGACGAGGTCTGCCATCGCATTCTGGATTGGCCAAGAATTCGCGCGCATCTCGGTCTTGAGGCTGAGCCCCGGTCCCGAGATCATTGTCTCCAACAGGTCGGAACTTCTAATGGTGTTCCTCATGTTGTAGTCGAGCTCAGAGGAATCCCTCCACATCTGTTGTGGGCAATGATCAAACCTGTCCTCAGTGTAGCTCGCCCTCCTTTGTCCTTGCCTGTCAAAGAGAGACGAAATATCCCAATGATGCACAACGTAAGGTCCACGAACAACGTATTCCATTGTGCCTTCTCGAAATGTGCTCATCACGCGAAGACGCCTGTGGTCTAGCAATTCAGGTTTGAAGGTCTGCCCCCCAACATGGTCAAGGAGTTTGGCGATTCTGGCTGCAATGGGCCCTCGGTCAACCTCGCCATCTGGCGCGCGTTCGACCATCGTCAACTCACATCCCGAAGTTTCGATCGACATTGCCGCGTCTGGACTGCCCGCCAGATCAACGCCACCCGCGGGGCATGTCTGCACGCGCGGGCGCTCCGCGGGGGGGCGACTGCGAAGGTGTTCAAACAATATCTCAGCGAGCTCCGTGGACATCTTGGTCTTCGAGATGTCGAATGCCAAGTCATCGTGCACGCGCCCGCTGGTGTTCGGCGTCTTCCTCAAGAACATAGAACAAAGACCGTCGCCCGTTTGAACCGCCTCGGGTCTGTCCGAACACGCGCGAACGACAATGGAAATGAGGGCGGCTGGGCCAAGGCCAGTTAACTCTGTTCACGCCTCGCTCGTGCGCAATTCTCGGAAAGAGCTGCCGGTGAATCCATCGGGGCCTCCACCTCCACGGTGGGATGTTCAAGGAGAAACGGTGGACAAATCTAGTATGAAGTATATTTCATCTTGGCTGCGCAATCATTCACCAGCCAAGTCGCTGTTGAAGGGCCCGTTCCATCTGTGATGAGTTATTCTCCTCGCGTGCGCCATCCATCTGTCGGCCCAGCTACGCTGCCCCCCTCACTTGGCCAGATGAAGGCACAGAGAGGGGGGCATGTCATCGGTGCTCCCGAAAGGCCCAAGTGCCTTCAGATGATAGGCCACCCATTCCAGCACTCTGGTGTTATCAGTCCTCCAAGAACTGCATGCAATGAACCTCCTTCTGAGCATCTCGATACTCCGGATGCGTGCTCATATATATAAGGTGATGCCCTGTTGTCTTCCTCAGATCTCCACGTGGGAAGCATGCGAATTTGATCGGCAAGTCTAATCACGCCTGCCATTGACTTTGCCATCCTAAATTCATCAGAGAACATGTTCTTCCGATGCTGTCCGTACATCTTGAGGTTGTATGAGCGGTCTACGAAGAAATCTGTTGCCCTGGGTGCTTGACATGCGAATTGTGGGAAGTCGGGCACACTCCGTCTGGGCCCGCAATCCATCTGAACACGTCCTTCGCCTCAAGAGAGTTGCCCATTCTCTCAATCGTTGCCTTTTCTTGATACGCACGGAGGTTTGGGCTTCTGTCCAATGCTATGTCGCTGCATGGGCATTGGCGCATACCGGCGCGAAGCTGTGCAATCGCATGTAAGTGTATCTTCCGTCGTCCGTCCATGGTCGGTCGCGCATGCGTCCGTCATAGTTGGAGACCACCGTTTCGTCCGACTGTAGGTAAGCCGCGATGCCGAAGAGGTCAAGGCAGACTCCCTTTTGTGACCAATGGAAACCGTAGGTGTTATGCCACGTTGTGGAGAATGAAACATCATCATCACTGCCTGTGTGGGTGCACAGGGCAATCTTGTCGATACCTGCCCACTTAGGAATCTCCTTGGAGACTACGGAGCCGTCAAGGGTCATCCGAAATTCGTTGTCATAATTTATCTTTTCGTGAAAAAAACACGATGCCGTCCCACTCTTTCCTGAGCTGGGCGAACAGTCCAACGGTTTCCAGCAGTGGCGGGTTCGATGACGCCGTCCTGTTGGTCCTCTGCTCGCCCAAGGCGGTATTTTAAACTTGGTACCATTTCGTGGCTGACAGGCAGCCCCAATTGGCTGAGCCAATCAGGGGGCGATCGGACAACTTCAGGAGAAAACCATATGTGGCGATAGGACGTAGCCTGAGTGCGTTGCAATCGGGACAACCCAGCAAACCGGCATTCCTCTCCAGCGTGCAGATGCCCCCAGACTGCGACCGAAGGACAGCGTCCTCTGTAGTGACGTGTACCAGTACGCCATGATTCTGAGACATGTCACGGCAGTCCTCTTGCACGCACATCCTTTCCACGACCATCGGAACGGAGAGCCCCTGCGTAGCTATGATCAATGTAGGACAAGGCAGCATCCATCCATGCGCCTTTGTCTCTTCTGGCATAGGTTGATCGAACTCAAGTAGTTGTTGACCATGCCGATCTTGTCATAATAGACTTTGTCATGTTTGATCCATCGAATCTGAGTAGTGTCCGGCGGAAGCGTGGACAGTGCACGCATCGCGAGCGGAAGGGTGCGATGGTCGTACCCGTCCCTCGCCAGACAGCCCATCAGCGTTGCAAAGTGACGCCATCCCCCAGAATTCATGACGGCGTACGTGGAGTGTCGCAGTAGGTATACCATCAGCTCGCCTATCAGTTTGGCTTCTGCCTTCAAGGCAGCGAGGCAAGGCCCTTGCCTCGCTCACTCACCTGAACCCAGAAGTCCCTTTCACCTGATCCACGGGCACATGCATATGGGGATCGCCCACTGTCGGTCGGTCGGAGCACCCCCAGCATGTTTTCAATCGCTCTCGGAGATCTCATGTGACCCCCACTTCGCATAGACATATCGCATTGCATGTGAGTAGTCCTCATTTGGGAGGTTCTATAGCGCAGCGAAGATCGGGTCTTCTCGGAACTGTGCCATGGCACGCAGGGATTTGAACGTGTGGAATCGAGGTGCCATTGATTCCCCAGCGACTGGGCCGGCGCTGCGTGCCGACTCTGCTTCGCGTTTGATGTGGTCAGGAATTTGTTTGATTTCCCCGCTCCCATAAACTCACACCCCGTTCCTCTGTCATGATGTTCGCCGTCTGAGGGCGAATGCCCGCGTCGACCCCGCTCCCCCGAGGCAACTGCGTCGTCGGGGGGCGGCGGACAGGAGCCGAGGCAAAAGTGCCCAAAGACCTTTTGAGCGTTTGAAAGGTTGGCGCACGCATTGAGGTCGCACATCGTCTAATCACGGTCAACAAAGCTTGACGCTGGAGGCCCGGCGCAGGTCAGGCAATGTGGCAGCGGGCTGTGCGCCGCCAGCTGAGCCGGCAGCATCGCCGCCTGCGTCCACAACCACATCGAAAGGTGGCTCCACCGAGTCTGGGACCCCAATTTCCATACCCGGTGGATCAGAAATTGCGCAGGGAGAGAAACTGGCCCCATCTGGGAGAAGTTCAATGACAGCTACAATCTTCCTCTCGAAGACCACGCATTCCTCGACTGGCCTCGACCATTCTTTTCATTGGCCGAGTCCTGACGTTCCTGTGTGATCGCCTCCGTTGCCTTCGTATAGACCTCGACCATTGCCTTATCGCGGCCCGTGACGCGAAGCAGGGAATCAACCGCATTAGGCAAGGCGTTCCTTGTTCAACGTTCGGTCGACGTTCGGTCGATGAAATCTAAAGGGGCACCAGGGAATTGCAAGTCCCATGCGTCTGCCATGTTTGCCAAGACAGAGGCGATTATGTCGGGCGCATCCGGCTTCTCCCCCGTCTATCTCTCCCGTCGGCAATCAAGTTTATCTGGGATTGCGGAGCGCAAGGGATCACCCGTCCCGCGGCCTGAACAAGTGCGCCACCCCCGGATGCACCTCGAATCGGGGCGGAGGGAACATCGCTAGCTGAGCCACTGGAAATGCCCTTCGGGGTAGAACGCATTGGACTAGGAGCGCCACCCTTCCGGGTCCCTGCCGCGGTT